GTTAAAAATTATTCAAGGTACGTAAGTTTCTTTTGTAAGCTAAAAATTTTAATATGTAATTAAATAAAATCTTTTAAAAATCGATCAAACAGTCTGTTTTGGAGTTAGCTGATTTACAGGGAAATGAATTTAATAAGTTGAACCATTTGAATGGAGTTAACTTTTTTGTGGCTTCATTAATTTTCAAAGATGTTAAATATATTTTTTAATTTATTAGTCCTATTGCATACAAATGGTAATTTATAGGTAAAATGAACAACTTAAAATATATGTACACTTTTATTCCAAACAAACTTTATTAATAAAATATTAACTGGCCATTTTAAATAGGAAAGTGTCTAGAAAAAGTTTATCAGCCTATTCATTATATAAAATTATTAATTCTCGGACATACAATTAAATTTATAATTTAGTTTAAATTACAAACAGAAATTTTAATGGGTGGGTATTTATATAACATGTTTTTTGCAGATGTCGCGTTCGGACAAAATTTTAAAATTAGCAAGAGAAAAGTGGGAAATCGAGTCAGACTTTGATGAACCTATAATGACTTAACTGCAATTTGCGATGCCAAATATTCTAGAACAGGGTGGACAATCCTTTCCCTAATAAATTGGATGTAATAAATTCTCCCCTACGAGCAACTTACCTACCGGAAGTTTTTGAAGGCAGAACAGAAAATGAACTCATTAATGTAGAATCACAAGAAAATATATTAAGCATTCTTCCTGAACCAGACAATTTAGGCCTACTACATTCACCAGATATTTCCTTTCTTCAACCAAGCAATAGTATGGGAAATTTTATTGTGTCGTTTCCTGTTGAAGCCAGTGAGCCAATTATAGAACAACCAAATCTTTCACCAGTTAAAGTACAACCAGTAAGCTGTTTAGGTGCCACAATTACTAAAATGCAGTTAAGTAATGAAAAGCATGTAGGTAAACCCTTGGTATCCTACTCTGACAGCGATTACACTGATTCTGACTATTCCTTAGGCGAGCCAGAGAACCAGAAAGTAAAAAGGAGAAAGAGATGCCAGGTAAATGCGAAACAATGGCTTGATCGCTGCAATGCTAAAAAAAGAGAAAAAGGTCAAGACTATTTTGGTAGAAAAAAACAAGATAACAAGTGGGACAACAAAGTGCCAAGAATTGCAAGAAAAATGAAAGCTCGTTGTTCATGTTCGTCGCTAAATGGTGTTCTTAAATGTCCCAAAATATCAGATGAAGCCAGGAAACAAATATTTGATAGTTTTTGGCTATTAAACTGGGGAGAAAAGAAAATTTATGTTGACGGCCTTGTAAAAATGATACCCACCAATAGACCAAGAGGTAGAAAAGACACATCATTATCAAGAAGATCGCATTCAATGTACTATCATCTAAAATTTAATGATAACTTATTTCGGGTCTGCAAAACCATGTTTTTAAATACGCTGGACATAGGCAAAACGGCTGTTTGGAACTGGAAACAGTGCTCAAAAGAAAACTTTGCAGTTTCAAGAGAAAGCAATCACTCCGCTACCGAAATAGCCGCTACAAAAAAGGTTCGAAATAATCCATTTCAAAATCAGGTTGATTCCTTAAAAACATACCTTAATAGGTTACCTAAAATGGAATCACATTACTGTCGTAAGGACACGTCGAAATATTATCTCTTACCCGAATGGACATCGAAAAAGTCGCTTTATGATTATTATGTTTCGGACTGGTGTTCTACAAACAACGTATTGCCTGTATCAGTGGCAAAATTTAATAACACTTTAGATACGGAAAACATATCATTATTTCATCCAAAAAAAGACGCATGCGAAAAATGCATGTCATATAAATTGGGTTTTGTATCTGAAGAGGAATACAAGAAACACACAACAAGAAAAGAGCAGGCTCGTGCTGAAAAAGAAAAGGATAAAAACCGAGAAGATTACGTATTTGCAGTTGATGTTCAGGCTCTGCTATCAGCACCAAAATCTAATGTATCATCACTGTATTACAAATCTAAACTTAATGTGCATAATTTTTGTGCATTGGATTTAAAAACTAAGGAAGCATACTGCTTTTTATGGAATGAGACAGAAGGTGGAGTTTCCGCTGAAGAATTTGCTTCTGTGATTTCATACTTTCTTATAGATAAAGTTCTACCACAAATCTTGGACACCAGAGACAAAAAAGTAGTGATTTACAGCGACGGATGCGCAGCGCAAAATCGAAACGTTACGGCCTCAAATGCTTTGATAAATGTGGCGATGACCAGAAACATCGTTATTGAACAGAAGTACCTTGAAGTAGGCCACACACAGATGGAGGTAGATTCTATGCATGCCTCCATCGAAAAAAAACTTCGAAATAAGATTATTAATATACCTGCTGAATACATTGGTATTTGCCGAAGTGCTCGTAAAAATCCAAAACCATACAACGTTGAATATTTAGAACATTCGTTCTTTAAGTCGTTTGATGATGTCAAATTTCTTAAATCCATTCGACCTGGAAAAATGAAGGGGGATCTCAAGGTAAATTTTTTTTTTCACCTTTGATAGGTAGGGTAGTAAATATTTAAAAATTTTTTTAAAGGTTAATGAAATCAGGGCCCTGAAATATACGGCAAATGGTGACGTGTTTTATAAAGTAAATTTTGAAGAAGAATGGAAGTTACTTCCCCAACGGCGTGAAAAAATGACTAATCCAAAGGAGTTTGCTCAGCTGCCGAACTTGCATTCTGATAGATTGCCACTAACCATCAGAAAGTTCCAAGATCTTCAAGACCTAAAAATCTGCATCCCAACTGATTATCATTCCTACTACAACAATCTACCTCATAAATAAATATTTTTTTAACAATCTAATTTTTTATACTGTAATATTTTATCTACCTCATAAATAAATCTTTTTTAAATAATCTAATTTTTTATACCTACTCTAATATTTTATTTTTTCTTGATATTTTTGAATTTAAGTTCTTTGCTTTGTTTTAAAAGATGTGCAAAAATCGGGCTAACTCCTTTTTTTAATTTCTTACTTAATATGTAAAAAAGCTAACTCCTTTTATGGCGCAAAAAAGAAGTTTTAGGTCAAACAAATTCATTTTTGATTAATTATTATTAACACCAAGCATCAAAAGAAAGAATTAAGATTGAATACTTAACCGTAAGTATAATTATTCATGAACTAAACAGTTTTATGTTCCTCCTGAAAAATTTGTCAAAATGGAGTTAGCTTTTCTGCAGATTAAGCCATCGAAATGGTTCCCAACTCCACCCCCGTCGCCTTTATACTTGGAAATTTCCAGCCGATAGAGCTCAGAACATATTAAGAAATCAGATAGACTTACCAAAAAGCGTTTGATCGTGTCCAACACCACAAGTTAATGCAGATCCTCAAGAAAGTTGATATAGACCAAAAAGACATAAGATGCATTGAAAACTTGTACTGGCATCAAACGGCACATTTAATAATAGATAATTCTATATCCAAACCCATACATATAAGAAGAGGCGTTCAACAGGGATATGTGCTTTTCCCTCTTTTATTTAACATTTATTCGGAAGCCTTATTTCAAGAGTCTTTGGAGGATGCAGAGATGGGAATCAAAGTTAATGGAGTATTGATCAACAACATACGATATGCTGATGATGGTGTCTTAATTAGTGACAACATAGTTGATCTTCAACAACTTGTCACTATAATCGGAGAATACAGTAAGCAAATGGGATTAGAGACTACCAGAATACCAAATACCAAAAGAGAATACCAAAAAGACCAAATTCATGATCATCTCCAGAAACTTGGATGCACCTGAAAACTCTACCAAACACTGAATACTAAGTCCATTGAAAGAGTGAGTAAATTTAAATACCTGTTATTGTGGCTTTTTGAAGACTGGGCATCAGACAGGGAAGTAAAATGTCGCTTGAGGAAACTCGACAAGCTTTCATAAAATTCAAGAAGGTATTGACTTGTTCAGAGTTCGATCTTTAACTGAGACTAAAGTTTACTAAGTGCTATGAATGGTCAGTGCTGCTATATGGCGTAGAGGGCTGGACACTCAAAACGAGGGATATAAACTTAAAAGCTTTCGAAATGTGGCTTTATCGCAGTATCCTAAAAATACCATGGACAGCAAAAATCACAAATATAGATGTCCTTAGAAGAATAAACCAAGAACGTCAACTTTTCGAAACTATCAAGAAATGGAAAACAGCATATCTAGGTCACATCATGACCTAGCGGGGATGCGAGAAAATGTCCTGGCTCCAAAATATAAGTCAATGGACAGGGATTAACGACATACAATCTCTGATACATATTGCAAGAAATAAAGAATTAATGGAAAATGTGATCGCTAACATCCATTAGTGGATTTGCATCTGAAGAAGAAGAAAATCTACCTATTTAAATATTTCAACTTCAATAAACAATGAAATGCTAGAAAAAAATTAAAAACCACATATTAACAAAATAAATAATTTACATAATCCAAATAATGTAAATACATTACAATATAAAAAATAGCATTTTCAGAAAAAACTACATAAAAGTAAATTTACAATGTATCTGATGAAATTTGATTACAATTTCTGAGAATAAATCCCAACATATTTAAATCTTTAGTCGAAATTTCATTAATATGATATTTAATATTAATATGATAAATTTAGAATTAAAGTTTATACAATAACAATAATTTACAAATTCCCTTGATCTATAAGAAGTAATTTTTTTACATTTAAGTAACATATTTACTTCACACCAACTAAATAAGCTTTTAAGATTATTTAAAAAAAAAAACTGCATCATCACTAATTGCCTTAATCTACCATTAAATCTATTTTAAAAACTGTTTTAATTGCGATTGCAGTGATTGAATTAATTCCCTCTGTGCTGAGATTGTCTCTCGCAGGCTGTTACGGTCAGAAACTTCCAATTCAAATCTTCCTTTTTCAATTTGAAGCTGTTGTTCTGTTTTTTTTTCTTGTAATGCCATTTCCCTTTCTTGTAAGGCTATCTGCCGCTCCTGAACTTCAACCTTCTTTTTTCTAACTGCAATTTATCTTCCTCTAATTGCAGCTCCCGTACTCTAATATTGTGCTCTCTCTCACTTCTCTCTTGAATAAAAGTTAAGCCACTTCTACGAAGACCTGCACTTTGATTTTTCCGTTTGCGGATTGGCCCTGAATAAAATAAATAAATTTCTTTAGAACAAAATATAGCCTAAACAATTATATTACATTTTGTGTTAATTATAATCCAGTTATGTCATAGTTTTTATTGGAACAATTAGAAAACATTCACAGAGGAAGTGTTAAACTGTCAGAATAATATTTATTATAAGTTAGAATTAACCTGCTATTTGTTTCCTGCTGCTGGGACCTTCTTCAGCAGTTTCATCCTTGAGTCTTTTGATGGGACCCTCATTCACAGTTTCCTCATCTGGCGTTTGCCCATATCCCACTTGAGGAGTTTCTTGAGAAGTTGATGCAACTAAAATAACAGTAATACATACAAAATAAAATTCTGTGTACAAAGGAGTATTTTGAAAAAAAAATGTTATGGTTAATAGTAACCAATCACATTTACCATGATTTTATGAATTCCATATTTTTAAAATAAAAGTAAGTATGGAGGTATCAACATTACCACAATTGTAGTCATGATCACTGATGACATTTTCTTCGTGGTCAATAGACATGTCTAATTCTTCTTTTGCATAATATTTTGCTGCAAGGTCCCTTAGAGCAACACCGATTTCCGATGATTGTTGCTCCTGTTTGGTTTTTCTTTTTAATTTAGATGGAGTAAGATTTGTGGTTCTAGTAATATCCCAAATCTCTTGGAGTAGATTATCTCTTTCTGAGAAAATCTCTTCAACTCCTGATCTGAAAATGTTTAGGTAGGAATGAAGACAAATTAGATTTGTTTTTTTTATGTGAAAATATTTACCTGACTCTATTTACAGCATCCTTCTTTTTCCAAATTTCCATTAAATGTTTCAAATGGTCTCTAAGTGTTCTCACTGAGAATTCTTTTTTTGTTAATATAATCATGTTTTCTCTCAGTGCCTCCCATTGTTCTGGTTGTTGCAAAACATTCTGACTTACTACTTGCCTCAATAAAGCCAGATCATCGTCGGAGTTAAACCTGATTCTCTTGTTCATCTTCTGTAAAAACGTAACTATTTTATTATTACATCTAAATAGGTAACAAATTACCTAACCCATTTAAAATAGTGCACAAACTAATAGTGTGTTTTACTTACCAGATATTTAAAAAGGAAACGTTAGAAAATAATATAAAATATCGTATATATAATATATATATAATAACTAATAACTTATTTCTATAACTAATATTTAAATAACTAATATTCTAAGCACGAAAATTATAAAACTTGTATAAACAAAATAAGAATACACGTGTTTCTCAAAACAAACCAAACAACATAGATAAGGTTAGGTTAGATTGCCAAACAAGATCATCCCAGTCATAGTTTTTAATTTCTAAATTTGTATTCTATGAAATATTTTTATGTTTTATCCGAAATGTCAAATTATCGTTTAACGTAATTACCGCCCCTTATTTCGACCCAAATAGCGGAAGCCCTTATCCGTTATTAACGTAACATTCACTATACGCTTGCGTACATGTCAAAATAGCGTATTCCGCTATTAGCGTGCGATAAAAATGCACTTGCGATATCTCTCTAATATATAGACTACGCAGTCCCCTATTCTCGCTATAGAATCGAGTGTCCGAAAGATCTCGGCTGAAGGTTGAAGGTATGTTTATTACAACAGCGGCGTGCTCATTTATAAGTTAATGACAATAATTATTTTTTTAATTAAAATTAAATATTTATGATTTCTTTTTGTTCCCGTCTATAAGAGAAATAATTATTTTGATAAAATAGTATGGCATTTTACTAAAATAGTAAGTAAATAACTATCAACAATTTAAAATAAAATTTGCTTGTCACACAAAATGGAGTACGTCCATGATGTTTTCAAACACAAGATCAACTTCGTGATGCTTCGTAAGAAATCATGAACTTCGTGCATCTTCGTATCAAAACAATAAACAATAACAAAGGTATTCATGTTTTGGACACTCTTTAAAGCGTTCACCGAGTCTATATATTATACGTCATTGCTCTGCACACACGCACATTTATTGACAGCAGGTCAGCAGCTGTAATGGCGGCGGCATCTTGAAATTTGTCAAAATATCAGTTTTTTAAATGCGAATTACAGAAAAACTATAGCTCAGCGCAAAAAAATGTATAGATTGAAAAATGAACAAAAAATAAAACATAATCCACTGTTCAAATTTCAGACTAATTAGACTATCCTCACTAATGTAAATAATTACCTTTCAGGATAAGTCAACCAAAAATTCGCATTGTTGGTGACCCTCACTAATGTAAACAAATACCACTTTGTTGGTTCCAACCAAAATTATTGTTAATAAAATCAAGTGTAATCAAATGGAAGTAAAACAAGAATTTAGCGAGAAAACGTGTAAACCAGAAATAGAGTATAATGAATTGGATGATACTCTTTTGGATGACTTTAAATGTGAAATTCGGGAGGAATCCAATAGGCATACTACATGACACAAATGATTATTTAGACTTAAAGCAATGTCTCATATATACTGAAATAGTACAAAATGGAAATAAAATAAACCCACTTGAAGAAAACCAAAAAACTGAAAAAGGTTAGTAATAACTTAATTTTAAATTAAAATTGTGGCTTATTTCCAAAATAATAAATTGCATTGATGCTACAAGAAAATAGCTTTAGAACATTATTAATATTAGTTTAAACATAAATACAATTTAAGGGCATATATGAGATAATTACAAATTAAGTGCTTATTTAAATGATACCTTAATCTTATTCTGTAAATGAAATTAAATAAGTAATTACCCCTTGTCCAATCTGTGCAGAAATAAAACCCGGATTTTATAAGGAAGAACATGATAAACATTTAATCAAATCAACAGCTCAGTTTGAAAAATTGAACATTGACTTTAAAAGTCCAACACCCAGTTCTTCTAGAAATTCCTATATGCTTACAATTATTGAAGAATTTTCAAGATTTACATGAGCTTTTCCAGGCTCAGATAACGTAAATAACCAGTCATTGCCACTATAAGAAAAGTAAAGCTAAAAACCATATAAAGACAAAAAACCAATAACTGCCACAAAATTTTTCAAAATATCAATTATTGCCACCCAGTCATTGCCATAAATAAATAACAACAATTTACTGAAAAATCTTTATTAATAAAAACCTAAACCAAAATAATTAATAAAATAATGAAGCCTTTCCATGTAAAATACATTTTGATATAAAAAATAAGACAAGATAAATTGAACTATATACTATATCTAGTGTTTTCTACAGGCTTTAGACCTCAAGTACATCCACTGACAAAGTAAATTCATAGTGGATCCATTCTCCAATGGATAATATAATAGGTGTTGGCAGTATGCCTAAAATACAATTTTCACTAACAAAGATGTCTTTTTCATCACAAATAAAAACATTATTTTTAGCACTAATAGATTTCATAGACATTATTTGTACATCATTATTGTCCATAAGGCCTTGGATAATAAAAACATATCTGTATGTTATGGATTTTCTTTTGCAGCCTAGGAATTTCACAAGTACATAGTTTTACACACTTTCTTGAGTTAGTGGGCAAAATTATTTGTTAGGGTCTTCATAAAAGTCTATGTCATCACAGCTGCTACTAATCTCAACCCATTCTTCATCCTCTCCATCATCATCAGAAATAGATGATCAGCTTATAATAGGAGGAATCTAAATACCACTTAGTTCATTAGCTGAGGCATATGAATATCACTGCACCTTTCTTGAGGAACTGATAAGTCAACATCCACAAAGTTCTGTGATCTTGGCTGGCGATTACAACCTGAGAGATGCTCAATGGGCTAATGATAAAAACAGGGTTTATTTATCTACCTTACTTCCTGATGGCTCTTACTCGAATACAGTATGTGCATCTTTTGCACTTTTAAATCTCCATTAGTGCAATAATATACCAAACAGACATGGAACATTCCTGGATCTTATTTGTTCACATATACATGATCTAAATATGTGTACGTTGGTCAATCCATTGTTTTGTGAATCATTCGCATAAGCCATATGAATTTTTTTATCCCTATTGGCTATTTTAAAGAGTTGGTTTTTTATGAAGACTATGTTTATGATTTCAAAACCTGTAATTTTAATTCTGTTAACTTTTATCTGTCTTAATTAGTTAATTGGGATACATTATACCATTGTAATAATATAAATGAGGCTTGTCAAATATTTTACAGCTATATGTATCAGTTTTAGATATTGTTGTTCCTATGAATGTTGTCAGGTGTTCCTACAAGTTCCCAATTTGGTTCTCAATCAAATGGGGACTACTTATTGTTCTCTAATCTATGTGATCAATGTAAAGTTGAACATACACTTTGTCAGAAACAACATTTTTCGTCTCTTGAACAAAAATTTAGTAATAGCCCCAGGGAATTTTGGAGATACATTGGCAGACTTCGTAATTTTCAAGTTAACCCCAAAAAATGTATCTCAGTGACAGAAGGGCACAAGGCAATATTGAAATTGCTAACCTTTTTGCTGAGTTCTTCTCTAGTGTATATGAGAAAGATGAAGGTGCTACCATTCCAGATTTTGAAAATTGTGTCAGACACATTGACCCTGTAAACCTAATTCAAGTTATCAACACTATATCAGTGTTTGATGAATTAAGAAAACTTCCAAACAAATTCTCCCCAGGACCTGATTGAATCCCACCAGTATTATTAAAGCACTGTCCAAGCTCTCTTACTATGCCCCTAAAATATCTTTATAATTTAAACTTTGATGGTACACAAGGCAAATATCGAACACAGTATTTAATCAAATCTTGCCCAAGTACTTTCGATCACAAGATCATCCTCAGGGGCATTTCGTCAGTTGTGGCCTATCCAGCAGTAACAGAATGTTATAAATGTAAATTTGGCCGGAGACCGAATGATCATTCTGTCTCCGGCTTCTATATAAAATGTAGCTTCTCCATTTCTTAAATTTTAAAGTGTTTGTTTGTCTTTGTTTAGTGTATTTGTTATGTCCCAATTTACATTTATAACATTCTGTTACTGCTGGATAGGCCACAACTGACGAAATGCCTCTGAGGATGATCTTGTGATCGAAAGTACTTGGGCAAGATTTGATTAAATACTGTGTTCGATATTTGCCTTGTGTACCATCAAAGTTCATTTATTCGAACATTCAACCTTATATTTCTTTATAATTTGTCTCTTATGATTGGTGAGTTCCCTTCTTTCTGGAAAAACAGTTCTATTGTACCCATTTTTAAGTTAGGTAAAAGGGAAGATATTGAAAAATACCAAGGAATTTGTAAACAGTCAGCAATCCCAAAACTTCTCAACAAGCTAGTGAGTTCTTACTTATCAAAACTAACAAATAATATAATAATACACACAGTGTCAAACTTGTTGGTCCACCAAGATGATATATTGGGTGCCTTTGAGAGGAAGTACCAGGTGGACAGCATCTATACTGTAAATCATCGTTATTTAATCAGTAAATTAGTAGCCATTGGTATAGCTGGCAAGTGGCTTGATAGTTTTCTTGTGTATAACACCCAGAGCATTAAGATAAATGGTGTGTTGTCTCAATCTGTTGACATCCTCTCTGGAGTACTACAAGGGTTACATTGTGGTCCTCTACTTTTTGTCTTTGTTAATGATGTTGAGAAAGTCATTAAGTATTCAAAATTTCTCAACTTTGCTGATGAAAAAATTTATAAAGTCATTACTTCTTAGTATGATCAAATTCAGCTACAAGAGGATCTCAGCAGATTTAGCGATTGGTGCAAACTAAGTGAATTAAAATTGAACATTGATAAGTGTTGTGTTATTACTTTTCACAGGAAGCAAACAATTTTAAATTACGATTATAGCATTGATAACACTCATCTTTCTAGGCAGGACTGTGTTAAGGATTTATGTGTTTATTTTGATTGTAAATTAGCATTTCGTAAGCATCTAGAGGTCACAGTAAACAGTGCATTTAAATAATTGGGGTTTATAACTAGAAACACTTCTTAATTTTCATGTTTTGTTTTACCAATTCTTTTTAATAGTCTCATTCGCTACAGACTAGAATATGCAATAGTTGTATGGGGACCTTACTATCAAACATCTATAGACAAGCTTGATTGTGTTCAGCATAAATTTGGTAAACACTATCATTACTGTAGTGCTTTTCATGACCTCTCTGTCCCATACAGTTATAGTATGATAGCTGATCACATGAAAATGGTTTCTATGAATAGGCAAAAAGATTATTTTGGCCTAATATTCCTTTACAAAATTGCTAATAATTTGATAAATGAACTTTTAAATCGATTAAGTCTTAACACTCTTCATGGAGCTAGGCATACTTCGTTCTTTCATCTACCATTTCATCAATTTAATTATGAATACTTCAAGCCTCTTACTCATATGGTGAGACTATATAATAGGTACCAAAGTAATCTGGACTTATTTTTCCAGTCCTTAAAACAATTTAAAAATGTGATAAAGAGACTGCTATTTGTGTGATATTAGTTTGTATTCAAGTTAATTATTAGTTTTTGTTAAACTTCACTAATTATTTTCCAATTTATGCAGTTAACTTTAATTTGAGTGCAATGAACATAACCTATAGATATGTTTGACGTTAAATGTAAGCTTAATATATGTCAGTGTTGCCATATACTCAATTATTTCACACTCTCACATATAAAATTATGGGCAAGATTTAAATTATATGAAATGAAAATTTAAAATTGAAAAATACATATATACTTAATTAAACAAAAATGTGCATTATATCTTGCATTTCATTTAAAAATAGTTATACATTGCATACATTTAAAAATACTTATATAATAAAAACCATTAAAATTATGCTTAAGGTAAAAATTATTAATAGTTTAGAAACTTTAAAAACTACAGAATAAAGTAAAGTTAAATGAAAAAAAAAATAGGTTAAACAAAAGAATGCACTAAATATTTAGCTATATTTAAAGTAAAAAATACTATTTTATTAATGCTTTTTAATATTAATTCAAAAATTGTGGCTTCTCATAACAAAACATTATATAAAAATTAATGGGAAAATCCCAGTAGTTGGCTGTATACCATCGTTTAAAAAACTTATACAGAAGTATAGTCGGCACGTAATTTCGTGAGAAAATTTATAGGAACCAGAGCAAGTAAAATACTAGTAAAATGGCAACGCTGTTAGAGTTACCACTACTTGATTGAACAGTAGCTTAGATATCTACTTTTAAATTAAATAAAAGTTTTTACTTTTATTTAATTTTATTTACCAAAAAGTTTCATTTTCTATAAAGTTTAAATAAAAAATATCGATGTTGTTAACTTCTGTTATATATCTTGGGAGTGATAACACTAATCGACTCGACTGAACAGAACTTATTGTAAAATAATAATATCTATATAAAACATTGTTAATAATAGTAGTTATTCAACGAGCATGTAATGATGGCTATTACTCACAATGATAAAGTTTGCCCAGAGTGACCTTTTCTACGACTTTTTTTTGTTTTAATTAGAAAAAATATAATTATCAACTACTCGAGATTAAAATATTATAATATACAAAAATAAATTTTTTTTGCCAATACTCGTAGTACTCGGCTGAATAATTGGTTGCTTATTATTAGCCATGCTGTCTTAATTATTTATTGTAAAAAACACAACAAGAAATAGTTCAAGTTACATTAATTTCTGAAAAATTATAAGTATAAAGTACCTACTACTGTTATTGTAATAAATAGGAAATGGCTATTATCGGTGAACGTATTTTAAAAAGTTTTAATGTACATTTATATTTAACTATACCGTGTTGAGCTCGATAATAACGGGCAGATTAACGCAAAAGATGGAAAACACGTTATGAGATAAAAGAAATGAAACTAGTGGAGGTGGGAGATTGAGTGATAAAAACCTATAAATTTACGTTCTACTTATGGTTTCCCACCTTTAAGATGTATCAGACAAGTTTAGTAACTGTCACTGTGACAGTGACAGTTTTAAGGTAACGGAACCAGTAGTTGACAGTGATCCAGTAGTTGACAATATAAGATTCACTTTCACAAAATAAGCTAAGTTTTATTATTAGAAACCAGAAATCTACAGTTTAGAATAGTGGGGCCATCTATCTGTTCATCCAACAAGTTAAAACTTCCTACCTTAAAAAAATTCAATATGGCAGCAAATAACAGTTGGTCAGTTTTGTGTTGTGGATAAAACTAGTATTTTTTAAAGAAAAGTGTTTAGAAGGTTAGTATTTTTGCACAACATATGACATGTTTATTTGTTTGTATTAAATTATTGTGAAACTCCAGTGTATATTGCAAGCTATAAGCAAACTCAAAATATGCTTAAAATGTAGTTATCTCATTGTTTACAATATTGTAAATGGGTGTCATCTACTGGTTCTTATATTTGTATAATGTACCAGTA